TGGGAGAGCAAGACGACGTCGAAGGCGATGAAGGACATGAGCAGCATGGAGAAGGACACGGCGCCGACGCGGTTCTGCACCGACTCCTGGCCTAGACCCAAATCGTAGTAGATCGCCCCGAGGAGCACGGCCATGATGAGCGCCATGGACACCTGCGTCACCACGACCATCTCGTCGCGGAACTTGTAGGTGAACGCGCGCCGCGCCAGCACGTCGAACTGGTAGAGCCACGACGACGGCGCGGGCTCGCGCCGCTCCCGCGCTTCTCCCGCGGCGGCCGCCGCGGCCGCGCCGTAGCGCCGCGCCGCGTCCGCGGCGCCGCGCGACGCGCCGTAGGCGTCCAAAACGCGCGTCCGGTCCCGCTTCCGCAGGTCGAGCGCCGCGACGGACTCGGCGTCCGTCTCGAAGATCTCGTCGGGCACGGCGACGAGGTCCATCACGAAGTCCGCCGGGTTGTCGTGCGCGGGCGGCTCCAGCCCCAACGTCGAGAAGTGCCGCAGCAGCTCGTCGCCCGGGTGGCCGCTGTAGGCCGGCCGGCCCTCGCTCAGCACGAGGGCCATGTCGAAGAGGAGCATGAGGGCGGCCCGCGGCTGGTGGACGACGGCGACGACGGCCTTGGCGCCGTCGTTGGCGATGCGCGACACCGATCTTACAGTTAACAGCGCCGTCGCCGCGTCGAGGCCGCTCGTCGGCTCGTCGAGCACCAGCGTGTTCGGGTCCGACACGAGCTCCGCGGCGATCTGCAGCCGCTTCTTCTCGCCGCCGGAGATGCCCTTGAGGCGCTCGTCTCCGACGTACGTGTCGCCGCAGCGTCCCAGGTCGAGATCGTTGAGCACGCGCTCCACCGTCGCCCGGACGCCCTTGGCGCCGACCGTCGGGAGCCGCAGCCGGCCCGTGTAGGTCAGCGACTCGCGCACCGTGAGCGTGCTGAAGAAGAGGGGCTGCTGGTCGACGAAGCCCGTGGACCGCCGCGGGCCCCGGCCCGCGGGCGCGCCCTCGGCGAGAAGCGCGCCGCTCCAGGAGCCCGTGGCGTTGCGGCCCGCGAGGATCGTCACGAGCGACGTCTTGCCCGAGCCCGAGGGGCCCAAAATGAGGAAGAGCTCGCCGCCGTAGACCGCGTGGCTCATGGCGTGGAGCACGCGCTTGCGCTCCTTTTTCGGCGTCAGGACGTCGTAGCGCTTGATGTCCCAGGCGAGGCGGGCATTCGACTTGGACTCCATGGTCTCTGTGTCGCGCTTCGAGCCGCAGGCAGCTCTCGTCTCTGGATCGCAGAAATTTGCTGTGGCAAAATGAAGTCAAACTTTGCCCTCAATCACACGATGTGACGAGCTGAAAGCGATGCGGGAAGACGACCTGGAGCTCGTCGAAACGTGCAAGTTTAGCGTGTTGTGTCTGCGCAAACATCGCGCTAGATGGTTTGGCCGCACCGTCGCGAGGTTTACGCGTTTCCGCGATGCAATCGACCTCGACGACGCCGCGCTGCGCGCGCTGATGGCGCCGCACCTGCGCAAGATGCGGCAGCAGCGCGGGGTGCTCGTGCACCCGGCGCGGCCGCTCCGGCAGTTTACGTTCGACGTGCGACGGTACCCGCTCGCGGACGCGCTGAGAGAGCTCCTCGGAGTGCCCGACCTCGCGCGCGTCCACGACCGCCGGAGCGACGAGGGCTGGAAGCGGCGCCTCCTCGCGCCGCTCCTCGACGCGGCGCGGCGACGACCGTTCCTGGATCTCTACGACGACTTCGTCCGGCGCGTCGCGCTGCCGGCCGTCGCGCCCGCCGAGCGCTCGGAGGTCCGCTACCAGGCGTGCCCCTGCGTCCGCGTGCACTGCCCCGGCGAGGTCACCATCGGCCCGCACTGCGACGCCATGTACGGCCACGACGCGCGCACGGTCAACGTGCACGTGCCTCTGACCGCGGCGCGCGGCACGTCCGCGCTCGTCGTGGAACGGACCGTCGGGGCGGAGGACTTCGCCGCGCTCGAGGTCGGCGGCTGCGGCGCCGCGTTCGCCTTCGTCGGCGGCGTCGCGGCCCACTTCGGGGCCGAGAACCACACGACAGCGACGCGGTGCTCCCTCGACCTGCGGCTCCGCTTCTTCGCGGCGGCCGGCGACGCGTACGAGGCGCCGGGCTACTTCGCCGCCGCGACGCGGCGCGCCGACGGCGCCTGGGTGCGGCGGACGGGGGCCCTCGAGCCCGACGCGCGCGTGGGGCTGCCGTTCACCTAAGCGTGGTTTTGGACGCGTCCGCCACGCCGCACGTTGAAGTGCACGTTGACGTCAACGTCGAGACGATGGCGCGTTGAAGTAGCAGTTCGAGGGCGAGGAGTGCTCACTGCGGCCTCTTCCACGCGCTCGCGCCGCCGCCGTCGAGC